TAAATGCGATCACAGTTGTTGTTGTGTTTTGTGTATTATATCATTTGAAATCGCTGACTAATATTGTCATTGATTAATTATGATGTTTGATCACTCCATCATAATATCAGTAACAAAATAAACAAGCGCCTTGAACAAATGATAACCAGTAAATTTGTTAATACTATAGTTTTCACGCTTTGGTCCCTTTGACAAAGCAATATTCCAAAATTTCGGATCACTAGCTGTGTTTCAAATCATTTTCAAGACAGATCATTATTGTTCGATGTCCAACTTTATGTTATTTCTAAGCACCCCCCATATCACTATTTGTACCATCGGTATCCAGATAAGCCATTTTATTCCACTGTTGAGAATTAATCATCTGCAGAATGATCAATAACCATGATAAAAGTATTAGAAACATGGATCGGACCAAAACACAGAAGGTTGGATACATCTAACTGTACCTTTACGATTTCCAAGCTATAAGATAACTTATCTCGTACCACCGCTATTTTGTTTTTATCCTTGATTTCTCTTCTTCCTAATACTGACGCTGAAACAGTGGAATCATATCACTAATATGTTTGACTTGTTGATGTTGGGCGTCGTTATATTTCACTAAATATTTTACCTCACTTAATTTTTCAATAATTGTATATGGGCCTTCATATCTTGCATCAAGTTTGGATTGTTGGTTGATCACCTTCACCCATAGTAAATCTCCAACTGCAAATACTGAATGTTTCCTACCTTTATCATATCGTTGCTTTGATGTTTTTTGTTGCTGTTGAATATTAAATCGTGCTGCATTGTTCGCAACTATTCTAAATCGTTTCACTTTCTCAAAATAATCATGTGGTCTTGACATTGTAATTGCTGTTGATGTTGAACCGAATGGCTGGACAAATTTTCTGCCGAATGCTAATTCATACGGTGTGAATCCAGTTGTCGAATGGATTCCTGAATTGTACGCAGACACCACCGCTTGTAAGTATTCGTCCCAGTCATTGATGTTGCCATCTTGATATTTTGCTAGCTGGGCACCGAATGTTGCGTTGAACCTTTCTACCTGTCCGTTTGATTGAGGATGGTGTGGGATTGAAAACGATTGTTTAACACCAATCAGCGTTGTTATCGTTCTGAGTAACTCATTGTTAAAATGAGAACCTTGATCCGATGCTAAACATTTGATTGTCCCATGGGGTATGATGACATTTTCCATTAATGTTTCTGCTGCCACTTTGGCTGTATTTGTTGGTAACGCTTTAGCGAAAACAAATTTCGATAAACTGTCGGTAAATACCAATACGTATCGATTTTCTTGAACTGATGGTACGGGTGTTGGACCCCAAAAATCCATATGTAACACCTCAAAAACACCTTCGGGTGGTGGTACTGGTTGTAAAAATCCCGGACTCTTTGTTCGTTTAACATTAAATTTCGCGCACTTTTCACATGACCGTACATAATCTTGTACTGTATCAAACATTTGTGGCCAATAATATTCATCTTTAATCTTGTTGAAGGTACGACGAGTGCCAAAATGACCACTTAATGGATGGTCATGATTTAACGATAATATTTGTTGTACCGTGGATGTTGGTATAAATGGCAGCTTTCTTTTGGTTATACCACCTCGATTCACTAATTTATATAAAATTCCATCGACAATTGTGAGGTCGGGTATAGCCGAATTTTTATTCACTTGTTTAATTTTTTCTTGAATTAGTTTATCATTTTGTTGTTGTTCTTTTATCTTGGCTAGCCGAACGTCCATTAGTTCGATTGATTTGATATCACTACCTACTTTTTGTGACCATCCAGTTGATAATAATGATGGAGCTGGATGATCCTTTGTTGTTCTTATTCTGGCTTTCTGATCTCGATCTCCTGTTGGTACTTGATTCTTCAAACTGGTCATTGACCTTGTAACAGCATTTACTTGCGATAATTGATGTTGTCCGGCTAATTTGGTTGTTGACTTAAATCGACGCGTTGTTATATCTTGTTGACCTTCTTCGCTATCCTCTTGCATGTACGGATACCTTGATAGTAAGTCGGCATCACAATGGCATCTCCCTTTCTTGTATTTAATCTCGGTGATATCATATTCCGACAGATCCAGTGACCATCGATCAACACGACTATTGTTCGATGCTTTACGGTGGAAATTGCATAATGGGCAATGATCTGTTTCTACCGTAAATTCATGACTCCATAAATATGGCTTTAATTGTTTAACACAAAAATGAATAGCTATGCATTCTTTTTCGGTAGTAGAGTATTTTTGTTGTGCAGGATTGAACTTCTTGGATAAATATTTAATGACTTTTGTACCATCCGGTGTTATTTGGCGTAATATTCCACCCATCCCTGCTCCTGATGCATCCGTTGCCAACACAAATTTTGATTCGGGATTCGGATCTGGAAAATGTAATAATAATGGTGATGTTGTTAATTTCTTTTTTAATTCATCATATGCACGTTTTTCCTTTTTACCCCATCGTTTCTGATCAAACACAGCATTTTTGCCAGTAAATTTGTATAACGGAGCTGCAATTTTCCCAAAATCTTGAATAAACGTCCGATAATAATTTGCAGCTTGGACGAACGAATGAACTTGTTTGGCCGTCGTTGGTTCTGGTAGATTGATAATGGCATCGATATTCTCTTGTAATGGTTTTATACCGTCATGATTAACTGTGTGATCTAAGTAATCCATCTCTGGTTTAGCGAATGAACATTTGGGTGGATTGAGTTGTAAATTGGCTTTATCCAATATCATTAATATCTCCTCCAGATGTTGTAGATGTTCCTCAAATGTTTTGGAAAAAATAATTATATCATCCAGATATACTAAACAATATTCCCATCTTGTGTATTAGCTATTAAATCGTTCATGATCCGTTGGAATGATGGTGGGGCATTCTTCAATCCCATTGCCAATACATTAAACTCAAACAGCCCATTTGGTATAATAAATGCAGTTTTCTGTCTATCTACTTCTTGAATCGGGATTTGATAATATCCTGTTTTTAGGTCCAATTTAGAAAAGAACCGATGACCATTCAGTCGGCTTAATGTTTCTTCAATGTGTGGTATCGGATATGAATCTTTGATAGTGATGTTGTTCAACTTTCGGTAATCTACGACAAAGCGAACCGATCCGTCTTTCTTCTTTACTAACAAGACCGGCGATGACCATGGCGAATTGGAAGGTCTAATTTGACCTGCTTTCAACATCTTGTTAATCTCACCAGTTAATACTCGTTGTTGTTGAGTATGGAGTCTATATGGTCTTGAATTAACTGGTGCATGATCTCCCGTTCTTATTGTATGTGTAATATTTGTTTTAGCGATCGCTGGCGATGTTGTATCGAATATACGGTAATGTTGTTCCATGATCTGACGGATTTGTTGCTTTTGCCGAGGATTCTCGATATGACCCAATAAATCATTGAATATTGTCGGAAGGTGCTGTGGTAATTGCGATGATGCGGTTGGCATGGAATATATAGATGAACAGTATTGATCTTGATGATGTTGTTCCAGACTTTCTTTGTGCGCCGATGTTTGTGTAAAACCTATATCTCCATTGATGGCAAATATTTTTATATCTGGAGTTGTTATTGTGATGGATCCCAACTTAACATTTTGGTGTACCATACTTGGGTAGTCGGTCGGATTTCGAATTGTTAACAAAGTACG